TACATAAGAGAACAAAATATCCTGAAGAAAAAGGCTCCTCTTCCCCATCTTCCATGTAAGCATTTATATTTCTTTTCTAGAGAGCACCTTGATTCTACCAGCAACTGGTTCCTACTGCTACAATTGCAGTAGGAACCAATTATATTGCTACGGTGTCTAAGGAACCATCAGCCACAGACCAAAATCCAGAGATCTCTCAAGCTAGAATTCTGATAATAGCCAACATGGGAACAAAGAGCAGTGGGGTGGAAAAACAAGGCAAGTAATCTTTGCTTTTCCTTTGCTACTTTAAACACATATGCACCCAGTCTGCCTTTTGTCTAGAAGCTCCATAATTAACCAAATTTCCAGAGTTATTTGATAATATGTACTCCAATTTAGAAAGTTAGACCAAAATTGTAGAATGTATTACAGTTTATTTTTCCAATATGCAAGCAAAACGTACTAGGCAAAATGAAAGATTAAAAAGCCTTAAAATCTAACAAACCCAGGTATCTCTAAAACAAAAATCTATGCTCTGCTGAAGCCAAGTTTTGCCATTGGATTCTACAGGGCTGCATTTCAGCCCTGACTTCAAAAAAAGCCCTACGTACAAGTATAACAGTGGTACCTTTGATCATTCTCCAAACAAATTAAAACTCTTTCCAATACCATTCAAAAGTTCTTTTGCAAAAAGGCCAAGCCTGTGAAGCACTGGTAGTCTCACCCTGCACCGTTCAAATCAAGGGGAGTTCTCACCCATTGAACTGCACTGAAACCAGGATCCAGCCCCCCGAGCAGTCAAGGCCACAGCGGTCAGATTTCCAGTCACGCTCTTGCAAATAACAATATTCTCACTGATTTCACAAAGAACAAAAAGGCTGTTTCCTGAAAGTGATGTCTGCTCACCAAAAGCCAGGTTTCCCTTTTGTTCTACTCCTGTGCACAGGATGGGTCAAATTCAGAGACAAGTCTAAAATTGAGAGACTCTATTATGTAACTTGTGTGTGTGCAAGGCACCAGAAATGTTGCACCAACACATGCTCTCTTAAATGTGATGCTTCATTCATGTATACCAGTGGTGGGCAATTATTTCAGGCAGAGTGCCGCTTACTGAGTTTTGGCAAACCATCGAGGGCTGCATGACAGGCAGCCGGGGCAACTAAATATTAATTTTTTAAATATTTTAGGGGCCCAGCAGGCCAGATAGAATGGCCTGGTGGGCCGCATCCAGCCCCCAGGCTACATTTTGCCCACCCCTGGTGTATACTGTAAAAGGGAGTCAGATGCTATTAGTTTCAGAGAAGAACTGTAGCAAGTAGATTCACAGGCAAGTGAAGGCAGCTGAACGTGAGCTACCTACAGGAGAATAGGCAGCAAGGATCTATAGGGTTGCAAGTGCCTACTGCATGGCTAACTGTGTAGCAACAGGACGATAGGGCAGAGTCCCAGGTAGACAGAAGGAGAATAACTGCAGCATAGTAGGCTGCTCATTAAGCTAAAAAGACCCACATGCAAACAGTCAGGGGAATACCTAACCAGAAGAGGAAGAGCCCAGGGGTTAGATCAGAGAAGTAAGGTTGGAAAGGACTTCAAAAAATCTAGTCCAACCAGGGATAGAACCTGCAACATTGGTGTTATTAGATATAAACCTAGGTTCCTGAGGCAGAGGACCAGTACAGCCCTGAAAGAGGAGGCAAGGAACAGAGGATGCAGGCCAGATAAGGTATTCCCAGGGGTCAAGAGAACAGGGAGGTGCCTTTGGCAGCAGTATGACAACTCAGAGTGGGCTTTGACTACTTTGGTTTGAAGGGATGCTTACATTTCTGTTAGTTTAAACCAGAGGATGGAGCTGTGCCTGCAGGGTGGATTGGAGGCCATGCAGGGATGCCCAAGAGGAACTCCATGTTTGGGCTGTGCCTGGGGTGCAGGGATACAAAAAAGTGATACATGGTGGGCTAAGGCTGAGAAGGCCAGAGTCAGGGGTCGGGGGACACAAGGCTTAGGCTGACAAGAGGCTAAGACCAAGAACCTGGGTCAAAGCAAGTGGGCCTAGAAGTCTATGGCCAGAGTAACAGGTAGGTGAAAGCCAAGAGACCAGAGGCCAATACAGGAAAACAAATGAGGACAGAATGACACATGGGAGGTATGCTGGTAGCTTTGGGGGAAGCTGGAGATCATGATTAAAAGTTCATATGGCTTAATTGGAGTCAATAGAGTCACAGGTGGTTACTGCAGACTTGGAGTAGTGCCATCAGGGGACACACAGTTCTGCCTGGGTGAGAGACTTGTTTTGCAGGATATAAAACTTTCATTGAATATGCCATTAAAGTAAAAACTGTGTTAACCGGCATGAGTAGGAAATGCGGTGTGCCAGTTATATAAAAGTCCCAGTTACCTCAGGCAGGGGTTTTCAGCAGGAAGCAGAGTGTGTGTGTGGGGGGGGGTGGCAGCAGCTGCCCTGTCCAAGCTCCCCCCTACCCCCGAGCCAGCCAACCAGAAATTCTAGTCAATAGAAATGCTGTTTACTACAATGCCTGCTAACACAGATTTTACTGTATATTGTATTGCTGTTTTAAAAAAAAAAAAAAAACAAAAAACCTCTCTTCTACCTACAGCTGAAGCTGTTCTAAAAATGTGATGCATTCCAGAAACAAAGGATGATCAAATCAAAAGGTTTACAGTACAAATAAGCAGTCACGTTCTAAACTTGCTCTCACTACCTGTTCCACAGCAACACTAATTTAGTCCGAGCTTTAACTACATGAGTGAAGTTACAAGCTTCAGCAAGGACGACCACTTCTAAAACGCTGTTTTGCACTGTGCTCATCTTTCTTTGCAGATTATCATCACTTTGTCCCAACAACCTTCTCTTAAAATATAATTGTAGGTCATTTTAATTAACGTTACTAGAGTTTCCAGGAGGTGGGAGACCTGTCGAACTTAAATACAAAAGCCCATACCACTTTAAAAAAGTGCGCGGCCTCTCTATTATTTAGGCCCTTGACAAATGTTACATTTAAGATGTTAATCATGTCTTGTGTAGTGACCTGGCTATATGCTTATTTAGTTAATAGTGCAGTAAAAATATTTACACATTTTGTGTAATAACTCTTTTGCTGGTTCCTATCACGCCTTCAACTGAATGTGTGGCTACTGCCTCCAGCCTCTGAAGCACAATGGAGCCTTCAAAAATCCTGTGTGCTCAAAAGGCTGGGAGTGCTCAATGAGCACACTATGTGCTCCTATGGCTGGGAGCCCACATCAGCTGACTGAACCAGCTTCTAGTCAAGAAAGAACATGGTGTGCTCCCATGAATGGGAGCCCAGATCAGCTGATCAGGGCTCCCAGCTGGGGAACCACAGGTTGCCAAGCTTGCTACTGCAAGATTGGGCTTCCCCTGCACTGGCACTATGGTGCAATAGGATCTGATGCTTAATCTCATCATTATGCTTCCTGCCATGCATTGAATAGAGCTGTCACCACAGGGGTGTATCTGGAGCAGTTTATGGACTCCCCTGACATCTGCCCATTCCACGAGCAGGAGACCCTGGTGCACACCTACCTGGAGTGCACCAGGGTGCAGCCCCTTTCATCACCTCCTCCAGAACCTCCTGTTGAGATTCTGGTTGCACTTCTCCCTGCATTTGTTTGTTTATGCACTCCCCATCCATGGCCCCAAAAAGTCCCAGGACCCCTGGCCTACCACTTCCTGGACCTAACCAAGCTAGCAATATACCTGACCAGAAAGGAGGCCTTGGCTAGGAGGACTGCTGGGGACTGCAGGGCTGTTTTCCTGTCCCTGATCTATTCACACCTCCAGAGTTTAACTGGGCTCCTGGATTCATTCAAGGGCCAGTGGGCACTGTCCCATGCACTCTGCTTTGTGTCCTTCCTCCCATCCCCTGCCTTGGTGCACTCATTTTGAACCTATGACCTTCACTCCCCCTCCCTGTTTTGTCTTTTAGTTGTCCCAAATGACCAGCAGTGTGCTCTTAGTGGCTTTCAGCTGGATTCAGCAGGCAATGGCCCACAATCCCAATGCACAGCAAACAGGCCAGCCACATTTGTGTGGCATAGCAGACAGTGCATTCGTGGAGATCCTGCATCAGATCCCATCACACCTTTAAATTAGCAGAGCAAGAAATTAGAGCAATCAGAGAAAGGAATCATAGAAAATCGGGCCTAGAAGGGGCCTCAGGGGTCATGTAGTCAAACCCCTGCTTAGAGCAGGGCCACCCCCAACTAGATCATCCCAGCCCAAGCTTTGTATACCCAGGTCTTAAAAACCTCCAAGGATGGAGAATCAACAACTTCCCTGGGTTACCTGTTCCAGCACTTTACTACCCTCCTAGTGAGACTTTTTTCTAATATCTAACCTCAGTTTTCCCTGCTGTAACTGGAAACTATTGCTCCTCATTCTGTTGTCTGCCAGCACTGAGAACAGTCTACCTCCATCCTCTTTCAAACCCCACTTCAGGTAGTTGAAGGCTGCTATTAAGTCCCCCCTCAGTCTCCTCTACTCCAGACTAAATAAGCCTAGTTCCCTCAGTCTTTCCTCATGAGCCATGTCCCCCAGCCCCCTCACCACTTTCGTTGCCCTGTACTAGACTGTCTCCAGTTTGTCCACATCCTTTCTGCAGGACAACTGTTGTAGTGGGGGGGGCCCAAGACTGAACACAGGAGAGCTAAGGGAGATGAAGGCTGACACAAAATACACCGGGCTGGGACTGAGGGACAAGGATTAGGGCAGAGCAGGGCAGGCTGCCAAGCCTCTGTGCCCCACCCTACCCGGCTGCTTCCAAACCAAACAGGCTGGATCTGACCGATGTACTGGCTCCAGCTGCTTCCCCTGCCCGGAGGCCGGCTTGCCCCCCCCTATAAGGACAGCTCCCCCTGGAAGCTCCAGGCTAAGGGAGCCGAGTCCCCCCCCTCGGTGCAAACACCCCCGCGACAACCCGATCCCGTCTCAAGCCAGCGGCCTGGCTGGACCCCGCAGCCTGGCCTGCTCGGGGACTCACGGCAGCTGGTCACGCCTCCTCCATGGGCGCCGCCATCTTGGAACGCACCGGCGGCAACAAGAGCTTTATTAGCAGCGTTCGGCTGCTGCATGGACAAACCCAGTCTCCCCCGCCTTGTCCTGTGTCCATCACAGTATCTCGGCTGGATGGAAGTGGGGAGCTGTCTGGGTGGGCTGCAGGCTTTCCCTGTCCCTGGGGGGAGGGTGCTGGGCTGTGCAGAAATGCCCCATTTGCCCCTGCTGGCTCTTGACACCTGTACTCAGGCCCAGGGGTGGCCCAGCCTTGGAGCAGCCCCCGTTTCCCCTGAGGCATTGCATGCTGGCTACAGCTGAGGCCGGGAACTTCAACTGGCGTGTGCCAGTGCTCCTGCTGGGAGCAAAGCCAGAGGTTCCTGGCTGGAGGATCCTGTCCCTCTGCTCAAGATCAGACTAGTCACCATATCTGAGGTCAGGAAGGAAATTTACCTTGTGGTCAGATTGGTACAGACTGTGGGGGTTTTGCCTTCTTCTGTAGTGAGAGTCATCGTCTTCTACCTGGGACCCTGTGAGCTGATGTTGACAACACTTTATAGAGGAAGGATATTGGCTGTTGTAGTTCCCTGGTTTTACCTGTGGGAGGTTAGGGCTTTAGGTCTGTGTTGTCAGGGCTGACTTGTCTTATTTGTATTGGATGATTTGGAGAGGGATAATCCTGCCCTAGCGGGTTGGACTAGATGTCCTCCCACTTCTCTGTTCTTTTAGGACCGTTAGGCAGTTCTGCTTCCTCATGGCAGTCGTTTCATCTAAACCATTTGCTTATGAGAATATCAAGGGCATCTGTTAAAAGCCTTACGAAAGTCAAAAAAATGTATCACATGTACTGCCTTTCCCTTATTCACTTGATCGGTTTCCTTCCCTTAATTGTGAGTTTCTTGTGAAGGTTTGAGTCCAACGTGAACATTTCTACAGACTCCTAACCTTCAACCGTGAGTGGCCCGTGGAACTTCTTAGGAGTGTAAGAACTGCTGTTTACTGGGGCAGGCCATCATAGGTCCAGCTTGCCCAGTATCCTGTGTCACACAATGGCAGGGCAGATGCTGAAATGGAGTGTGAATGGGGTATGAAGTGGGGTTTTTCCTCTGTTCCTCTCCTACTTGCAGCCTCTAGCATTTAAAATCTAGGAAGTTCTGATTCACAGGTTGTACCCCCAATTCCTGTGATCAATAGCTGTTGATGCATCTTTTCTCCAAAAATTTGTCCAATCCCTTTTTGAATTTGGTTAAACAGTCAGCTTCCACAGCATCTTGTGGCAATACATTCTACATTTTAATTATACACTGGGTGAAAAAACTTACGGCAGTGAAGCTAAAGCATACAGATATGAAGCTTTGCAGGATCAAGCCCTATGTATCTCTACTCTTTGCTCATTCATATTTTAAACCAAATTTATTCTCAGTACTGTAATTATGGAGTGAACCTTAACGTGTTTAACAAGATTTACAATTAAACAGCATCAATTAAATAGAAATTTAGACTATTGTTCAAGGAATGATAAAGGGCTATTGCTAATCTTGATGCTGAGGTTAAAATAAATGTTTTTTTTTCCCTGGCGTTAGACTGTTACTACTCCAAATATTGCCAAACATTACCCTGTTTTTATTGCATCACTCATTTGTTTATATTTCTGACATAACTGTAATTATCATCAAGCTGTTGGAGTGACTTGACTGTTCCTTATTTCTTGCAAAGCCAGTTCCTTTTCTGTACAACTCATTCTAAGATTTTTATTTAAATTTTTATTCTACAACTGTAACTTCTGTTTTTGCCTTGGTATGGTATTTAATCTGCTATCTGTGCTTATTATGGTGTGCTGAATTTTCCCAAATATAGCAGCCTTTAAATAAGCCTCTACTATCTGATACCCAAACTAGAGTCCCTGCAAGAATTTCAAATGTCAGTCAAATCCTAATGACTGCCACAGTGATGATCACAATGATTTTCAGTGCTGCTCTGCTGTTGCAGACAAAAAGCATTAAAGAATTTTGGCTGTTGCAAAAAGTTGATCTGACACGCCCAAGCCTTGTAGGGACTTGCAGAAAGGAAGTGCAACAAAGCAAAGAAAACAAGAAAAATTACAAGCAGATGAGATTGCAAGAGGAAGAAAGAGAATGAGAAGTACTGGAAAGCTGGAAAGACATAGAAGCAATCCATTGTGTGGCAATTTGTTCTTCTGGTCAGATGCAGACTATGAAAAGCTCTTTTTTTCACACACAAGTTCTGTTGCTTTAACCATGCTATTATACCAGCGTAGTCAGAACAGTGTAACTTTTATACTTAACTACACTGGTATAGTTAAAGCTATACAGCCCTTCCATCTAATTTAGGCACCAGTTGAAAAGATGCTTATAATGACACAGGCAGACAAGGTTCTTTGGGTAAATCCACTATATCCTATGTCCTTAGACCAACATGGCGACAACCTACACCCCTTATAAAAACATAGCCTATCTCTTTACAGGAAGGCAAACAAGCTTTATACAGATAGAAGGCATCTGTGCTTGCCTCCATGATAGCAGTTGTACTTGAAGTTGGGGAGGAAGCCAGAAACACTCCTAACAGTTTTATCAGCACAAACCCGTGCTTAGCCAGGCCCTCAGTCTTGCTTCTGTGAACTGGAAATAATGCTGATGGGGGTTCCTTGAACCTACTCCCAGATGCACTGGTATAAATGAGAACAGGACGGACAAGTGTTGGCAGCTACTCTTCAGGTGGGTTTAGATCCTATGTCACCTTGTAGTATAAAATGTGTATGCCCGTGGGTCTCCACCAAGGGGCTGTGGACCCTTGGGGCACCTCAAGGTCCTCCCGAGGGTGGTGCAGGGTGCCACACAAGTGATCTTTAGGCAAAGGGTCTATTGCCTGAATTAGCACTGAGTAGCTGTCCCCGGAAGGGTGACCCCAGGAGAGTAAATCTGAAGCTTAGGAAAAAGAAGAACAGCTCACACTAGGGTAGATGAAATGGCAGGAAGAGGTCAAAAGGGAAGAGACAAAAAGGAAATGACATTGCACTGCAATGGTCCCCAAGGCTGACTTTTATTTTTCCTTGAGGGGAAGAGGCTCTAAGATGATGGACACATGGAAATAGGCAGAGAAAGTTCTTTGGGTAAATCCAGTATCTTTTACAAGACCAACTCAAATCATTATTGTTAGACCCCGACTCCATGCGGCGCCCACAAATTGGGAGACGACTATCCAATTGCCCATGGGTCCTGTTACTCGTTAGCCAGAGCAAGCAGGGAGCAAACACCCGCACACATTGCTCGCAACAGCTTTATTCAGAATGGAGATAGCTTCGGGCCAGATCACACAAAAAAAACAAAAAATGGGGACCTGCATTGAACATTAGTTCTTTTCACATTTTATACACCTTGGTTCATACATATTAACATTCACCCCGCCCATGTTGCGCCTTCAATTCCACCCATTTCTCCTCCCATCTCAAGCTCTACCTCTGTTTATGTTCGCGTCCTGAGCGTGGTATTGCCTATGCATGCCATTCACTTACATACCTCTCCCCTGAGAGTGCATGCTTAAGACTTTGACCTCAGTCTTCTCCTGGTCAATTGTTGTTTCTGCTCGCTCTTTTTAGTTTCTTGCTGACTTCAGCACCATCTCCAAGGCCTTACTTCTGCTTTATTTCCTGACAATAGCCGGTGGGCTGCATCCTATTTTTATACAACACATCATGCACTTTGCACCTTATCCTTTTGTTAAGAATCTGCTTACTTAAGCATTAGCAAAGTTAGTTGCTTTTAATATATCATCCAGCCTTGTGACTAGCAGCTTTTGCTGAGGTTACTTTTGATATATCATCCAGCCTTGTGACTAGCAGCTTTTGCAGAGGTTACTTTTAATATATTATCCAGCCTTGTGACCAGCGACTTTTGCTGAGACACAGGAAAAAGCCTTTATTCAGCTGCATACCCAGTACTCCCCAAAATTCATACGTTACCGTAACAGTTATGTCCTTAGACCAGGGGTTGTCAACTGGGGGTACGCATACCCCTGGGGGTACTTTAAAAGGTCCCAGTGGGTAGGTGGGTGTGGGGATGGTGCGCCACCACCCTGTGCCACTACCTCACAGGAGCGGGGCTGGAGAGCATGGCCACACAGATACCACACTGCTGCAGCTCCCCCCCGTCCTGCTGCTCGCCACCCCCCGCCCCTTGGGTATGCTTATTAAAAAGGGGGCTGCTGATGGTACACTTATTAAAAAAGGTTGAAAACCCCAGCCTTAGACCAACACAGCCACAACCTACACTCCTGGGACATATGGCAAGTTCTAGGTATCCAGGTTGTAGCCGTATTGGTCC